TGTTTCTTTGTATTACTTCGCTTGGATAATACTTACTTCCAGAAACTTTAAAGTTTTCAGTAAGGAATTTCTATGACTTTAGTGAGTTAATTTATGATCAAACGATCAAAAGAAGAGATTTGCTGATAATTTTCGATCTAGTGTCTTTGTACACTAAAATTATGATAAGCGAGGCAATGAAGGCGTTATAATTAACTCAATATCAACAGTCTGAAATAATAACAGGTAAAAATTTAAGCTACGGTTCAATCATTAGATTAGTCAATTTGGCAATGTACAATACATGCTTCACCTTCAATGGTAAATTGTACGACAGACAGGGGGTTTGGCTATGAGATCTTGTTTAGACCCTATTTTAGCTAATAACTACACGAAACAATTAGAAGAGTTCGTGTGTTTCAAGAGACACTCCTAGTTCCACAGTTATTAGATCGCTATACGGACGATTATTTTGTCGCTTGGCAACATGGCAAAAATGGTTTGGGGGAATTCCTTGAGTTAATAAATAGAATAGATGCAAGCACTAAGTTCACCAAGTTCACTAAGTTAGTAAGGGAAAATAAATTGTCTTTATTGGATGTATTAGTGAGCAAAGAAAGTAATAATTTTGGTAGAGACGTATATAGGAAACCCACTAAAGCGGATTTTCTTCTTGATTTCTTATCGAATAATATAAATAAAGTAAAAATAAGAGTTATGCAGTCTATGATAATAAGGAGTCTAGGTCTAGTAGATGCAAACAATAGGAACCAGGAGATTGGTAGATTGAGGGATATACTGCTTCAAAACAATTACCTATTAGGATTAGCAGACAATTACATATCAACTGTAGTTAACAAGATTAAGGGAGTTAGGCTCGGGATAGAAAAATGGACATTTCTACTCGGTTCCTAATTTTGCATTCCTGTCAGCTTGCCAAAAAGTTGGGTGAACTACTGAGGAAATGGAATATGGAAGCAATGTATAAAGAGATATTAACACTTTCTTCAATAGTTTCTTCGTATAAAGGATTTTCAGACCCTCTTTCTAGATCAGGCTATTACGAGGTTTTATGCTCATGTAGTAAGGTATATGTGGGGAAGACCCGCCGACCCATTCCCAAGAGACTATGCGAACACAAAACCGCTTGTAAAGGTCTGTAGGTCCAAAATGTAAGCTCGCTGAACACATTTTGCCAATACAGAACACTCAATGGATTGGTCCAAAACACAACGTTTTGTGGGTTACGGGAACTCCACGTCAAAGCGTAAGATTAGGGAGCCGATAAAAAATTTACAAAACAGCTAATGTCCTGAATAGAAGAAAAGAGTTTAGGAAACTAAGTAGAAACTATTTATGCCTGTTGGATAGACTTAAGGAAAGTGAGAGAGAGAGAGGAGTGTAGGAAGAGCCAGTGAGCAAGAAGAGGAGCTAGGGCTATCATACTACCCACGACATGAGCATTGCATGCCTACAATAGACAATAACACAAGCCCAAAATAATTCTGCATTAGACGATCGTAGGCTAGTTTTTTGTTTGATGAAACAGCTGCAACCGAATGTATTTCCCATTCTGGGAGTTAACTTCACTCATTTGCAAGCAGATAGAGTAAGTGAAGATATGAAGACCAAGATGGAACTATGGCAGACGACTTCGGACTAGATGCATTCTACTAAGTCGCCCTGACAACAAGACCAAGTTGCGACAACGATATCAACCCACTTCCATGTAGAGTAAGGTTTAAGTGGCCAATCAAATCAAGAGGCCTCATTAAGATCGCGATGTTACGTGTATAAAAAAGCGACTAGGGTTGCGGCCGGCCACCTTCTTCTCTTGGTTTAGCATATTTATGCTTTATTTCGTGAAGTATGGAAACTTGCTGGGATGATGTCTGTCACAGTACAGACGAAAGCTTAGCACAGTTTCCTCGGGTCGGAATCGGATCAGCCGATCGAAAGAGATGGAGTCGGGGTGAATAGCAAGTGTGATGAGGCCCCACTAGATTACCAAAAAAGGGCAAACATTTTGACGGGTGAATTGTAAACAAGTCAGAAGTTGTGATAGGGCCGGAGTGGATGGATGAGCCAAGACAGAAAGAGGAGTGATAGTGTAACCGTTTTCGGAAGAACATTGGTCACTTTGACAAGTTGTAACTCTGCGCTTACGATGGCGCCTCTCAGTGACGATTGCGGCGAAACGTTTTGGAATGTACCCAGCCAATGGTCCAATGCTGGAAATCACGAATATTCTGGCAGACGACATGGGACTAGGTGCGTTCCACAAGGTCTCCTTGACGAACCGACCAAGTCGCGAAAACAAGTTCGTAGCAACACTATAAAGCTAAATGAGACTGCGATCAAGCAAAAGGCCACACCATCTTGGTCTTCATAACATAATACTAATAATAATAATAATAATAATAATAATAATAATAATAATAATAATAATAATAATAATAAGTTGAATCCGCCTAAAGAAGTAAACAAAACTGACCGCGCCCGGCCTCCATCTGACCCGACAAACGTTGTTTGTGCGCACGGTGTAAACCAACTGTGGGCAGTATTGTTGCTGCTGCTGCAACTGCATAGGTTGCTGTGTTGGCATCATTCCACTGGGACTTAGTAAGTAGTTTGTCTGACCAACGCTGAAATTGCCGCCGCCACCACCACCGCCACCAAGGTTGGTGCCGCTTCCCGAGCCAGTGACCAACTGATCAAGATCCCAAACCTTGATTAGATGGTCACGAGAGCCTGCGGTTGCCAGCCAGTTCAGAAAGCTAAGGCAAAAAACCGTGTAGAAAGGTGTGCAAGAGTGGGGAGAAAGGGAAAAACAAGATACCATGCATAAATGTGATGTGAGAAGATGAAACCGAATA